ACCGGCAGAGTGGAAACATGCCATAGTCGTAGGCCAATTACCAAGATTGGTGGAACGACTACTGGCGTTTGGGGAAGGAGGAGCATTATGAGCTGACATGAGAGTGGCTCAAGTAGATTCTGGAAGTCAAGTTTTGCCGCGCCATTTTCGCGAGAGAATGGAGCAAGAGTTATATGCCCTTCAGTAAGGGGGCAGCTCGGCAGAGGAGTACGAGTGCGACTTCGCTCGTAAGAGCGTGTTTGCTCGTCACCTCATAGACACCAAAGAGAAGAAGACAGTCATTATCGAAACGAGGAGAGACATTCTGATTCTAGTGGCCAACCATGGCTATGAAAAGCAAGTTGTAGCTATAAATCAGCATTTTGGAAGGTTAGATATCAGACATTACAGACGAGCGTGATTGTTGTACGCACAGTTATAACGGGGATCGTGCGACGAGCCACATTGATAATAAATGAAGAGATAGAGAGAGAAAGAGAGAGAAACTGCTCGAGATTTGTTTTTAACGAATTAGTGTTGGAAATGTTAAAAGAAGAATAAGTCGATGGTTATTAGTGCATAGGTAAGACAGTGGACTTTTCATTGTCTGAACTATGTACGCTTGAGTAAAGTTCTAACTCTAGTGATTGCCTCACTTAAAACTAGCAAGATGCCTTCAAGCAAGTATAAGAAGCGAGGGTTTCAGTGTATAAGAGTCGTAGGTCCGGGTAAGTCCTGGAGGCTTGAAATAAAAGCCATAAGTCCGGGAAGAACCATGGAGGCTTGAAGCTGAACCATAGTAGACATGTTCCCTTATGAGGTAATCTCTAGTAGTCAAAGAAGGAGAAGATCAAGTTTAACAGAACAAGAGCAAGGATCGCATGTTAAATCACAATTTGACACCACAATGACTTACTCGTCGTCTCGAAAAAGAAGCCATCACCCACGAAGATTCCGATAGAATAAAAATGCACAAACAACAGTATCCAAAGTCGGCATTCAATCTAAGGCTTTGAGCAGCAACGGATTAAGGATAGAAAAGTAGCAGCCACCAGTAGATCCAACAAAAGCCAAGTGGGAGATCGCAACAACCATAATTCAAGAAGAAGAACCAACCCCGCGCAGGGGAAAGTTGAAGACAGTCTGTTTAGGAAGACGAAGACCTATAAATTACGCGTTCATATACCGACAGAGAAAGTTTTTAAGGTCGTGATTAGAGAACATGTCACTATCAACGCTCGGAGAGTTAACCGTTGTTCGCA